GTCTTCCCACGGAACTTTCAATGTGTATAGAAATCAATGTAAAAACAATAAGTCAAGGGAAGAAAATCGTCTTAAATTAAGATTGTGGTGACTGTATCAATACTCATTTGTAATACTGATTGCACAAATACTTACATCAGGGTATTCGGGCTCGTAGTGTGTGGGGGCGTGGTAGGCGGGCTCGGGGGGGCGTGGGTAAGGTGTAGGGGCGTGGTGAGGTCTAGAGGTGTAGACGGGGGGATGGGGGATGTGGACGGGGACTTTGTCGCACAGAGCGACGACAGCCACGCAGGCGAGGACGGCGACCTGTGGACAGAGTTGTATGTTATTTGTTATAAGAAAAAGAAAAGAAAGATACATGGATTACCATGAAAATATCATATACAAAAAGGGAAGGAGAAAGATGAATGAATGAACAAAATTAATCATAAAATATATAACGTCTAAACAAACATTTCTCTTCAATGGAGGATTTCGTACCTTGAGAGACATGGCTGGAGAGCGAATGATGACTGGCGGTTGACGCTTCCCCTTATATGTGCGACAGTGTGTTCGTTCGTGCGTTGGCTCCGCCTTAGGCCTTTCTCCCATGGCCTGAGGGGGTGATTATCGGGCCCTTGAGATGCATTGGGTCTAAACGACGAGAGGACAAGGAATATCCTTTGGACGAATTTTCGTTCTTTACTATCGTTCTTACATATACAGAAAGGTGAGGTATCAGGTAGCCGAATAGGAATCTCTCTGTTAAACAATAAACACATCTGTTTATCCGTTTATTTATCCAGCTATCTCTCTAATCATCCATTCATCTACTGATATAAGACTGTATACCTCTCTCTCTCTCTCTCGCTTATATATATATATATATATATATATATATATATATGTGTGTGTGTGTGTGTGTGTGTGTGTGTGTGTGTGTGTGTGTGTGTGTGCGTGTGTTGTGTGTGTACATATATGTAAATACATGTAAAATGTGTATATATAGACACATACATATACATACATACATACACACATATATATGTGTGTGTGTTTATATGCATGCGCTTGGGTGTGTGTATATATGTGTGTGTGTGTATTTATACATATATACACACCCACACACACACACACACACACACACACACACACACACACACACACACATATATATATATATATATATATATATATATATATATATATATATATATATATATATATATATATACATACATATATATACACGCACACATATATATGTATATACATATATGTGTGTGTGTATTCATATTTATATATATATATATATATATATATATATATATATATATATATATTATATATATATATATACATTACATATTTATATATAAATACAAACGCATACACACATACATACGTATATATATATATATATATATATATATATATAATATATATATATATATATATATATATATATATATATATATATATATATATATATATTATATATATATATATGTGTTGTGTGTGTATACACATACATACATACATATATATAAATATATAATATATATATATATATATATAATATATATATATATATATATATACATACACATATCTCTTTCTCTTTCTCTCTCTCTTTTCTGATATATTATATATGTGTGTGTGTGTGTTATTGTATATATATATATATATATATATATATATATATATATATATATATATATATATATATGTATATATATATATATGTATATATATAATATATATATATATATATATACGTCCACACACGCATACGCTCATATATACATATATGTATGTGTGAATATTTATATGTGTACGTATGTATGTATAAGCCTATATATATATATATATATATATATATATATATATATATATATATATATATAATATATACATAAGGACAAGAAAACACACGAATATGCCAAGGCATATTCGGTGTTTTCTTGTCCTTCCCTTTGTTGTTTCTGTTGCAATCTGTTCAACATGAATTCCACATATATGTATTTATATATGCACACACACACACACACACACACACACACACACACACACACACACACACACACCACACAACCACATTATATGTATATGTATATATTACATATGTGTGTGTGTGTGTGTGTGTGTGTGTGTAAATATATTGGATATAGTATATATATGAATATATATATATATACACACTTGTATATATATAAATATATATATATATATTATATATATTATAATATATATATATATATATATATATATATATGATATATATATACGCACTTGTATATATATATATATATTATTATTTATTATATGTATGTATATGTATATACATACATATACAAACACACGCGCACACACACACACACACCGCGAGAAAAACAAACACAGAAACGTTTTAATTATCACTGACCAATTACCTCTTCATACTTTTCCTTTCACCAAACTGTCAACTTCTCCCGTGTTTCTCCCAGCTGGCCCGCGTCAAGGCTCCCGACCCTCGCGCTTCACAGGCGGGTCCTAGGATTGCCTTACATTCCCCGTGACGTGACGTAACAGCCTCGTGACAAACGAATCCAGAATCCTGTCAGGTGGTTAGGCTCACAATCCCTCTCTTTAGGTCTTATAATAAACAAACTACAAACGTGTGTGTTTTTGTACTTGTATGTCTATTAGGTGGTTGTTCTTTGCATTATTTTTACTTGGTTAGAAGCTAAGGAAACAAACAATAAGGTATAGAACATCGATAAAAATAAAGAACAATCATCGATATTTTACTGGATGTATGAACTTCGACGTGAAAATATCTTTTTAAATGATGTGGTTTAAGTTCAGACTAAAAAGTATTCTGATTTCTCTTGAAACTGTCTGACTAAACGTTATCATAGAAGAAATTACACTGATATGAAGACTAGTTTTCCAAATTTCATGTTATATATATATATATATATATATATATATATATTATATATATATATATATATCTTTTCTTTTTTCTTTCTTTTATTTTATTTATTTTTTTTTATTTTTTTTTTTTTTTCTTTTTTATTTTATTTTATTTTCTTTTTTTTTTTTTTCCTTTCTTTTCTTTCTTTTCTTTTTTTTTTTCTTTTTTTTTTTTTTTTTCTTTTCTTTCTTTTCTTTTTTTTTTTTTTCTTTCTTTTTTTTTTTTTCTTTTTTTTTTTTTCTTTTCTTTTCTTTCTTTTTTTTTTCTTTTCTTTTATAACATTTTCTTTGGGTAAACCCTAAAGTTGCTGTGTATTGTTTTAAATCATTTCGAAATATTGAAGATTAAATATTAATGTTGTGAAATTAATTCATTGTACAATTACATTGTACAACTTCCATGTAAATGTCAGTCTGATTCAGCGACAGAAAAATCTTATTCAAAAGGAAGGGAATGCTTTTCTTAATTTCATAATGGAATAGAATCAAATGCCAAATATTCCCATTTCTGTTGTTTTTTTTTTGTTTTTTTTTTTTTTACCACGTGACTGCCACCAAAATCAAAATTGGTAGACGTTGTATTGTGAAATATTTAACCAAAAATATTTTAACGTCAGAAAAACTGTCTGAAATACTATAGGATCATTATATTTCATCGATTTTTATCTTTAGTCTTGGAATATTTGGGGATTTTTTGCGCTTGCGTTCTCCCTCCCTCCTCTCTGTCTGTGTCTAACTGTGCTCTCTTTTCCCGCTTCCTCTCTCTCTCTCTCTCTCTCTCTCTCTCTCTCTCTCTCTCTCTCTCTCTCTGCACAGAATGAGCTCACTGTGTGTATATATAAATGCCAGTCAGTCCTCTATCACAAAGAGGGAACAGAAATTCTAGTGAGTGAAAGACATGTTGATATTTCGTGTATTACTGAACTGTGGTTCCTTCCAAGTATAAGGGATTCTTAAGTATTTCTTCGTTCAATATCATGGCCGTGGCGGAGTAGTATGTATCTGTATTAGGGATGACTTCAAGGCGACGGAAGTCAGCACAGCCATTAATAAAAGCGTTATTGAGGATAAATGGATTGCAATGCAATGCAGGAAACCACCGTCTAATATTGTTGGTTGCATTTACCAACATCCTCATGTCCATGGTTCGTCTTTCAGCTTTATTTCAGATTGCTCTAAGAATATTTGTCTGTACAATAAACATTTATGAAAATTTTCATTCTGATTGAAAATGGAAAATCGATTTTTCTTTCATATGCACACACACATATATGTTACCGTAGTGAAAGTAAAGAAGCATTTTTAAAGCATTTTTTGAAAATCAAATAACTATGAAATAAAGAGTTGGAGGATTGATGTCTTCATTAATTATATATAAATTTCCTTTGCTTTGAATCTTATTAGATAATCAGTCGGAATATAATTAGTGTCTATTGATTATTTACTATGATGTCCTATTTCAGTCTTCAATTCACTTACGTCAGCCTTTCCGAAGGATCAAATTTCCTTCTGACGTATGAGCAAAAAAAAATCAGTTATATAAAAATATCTTTATTTCATATATGAGAAAATATAATTCGTGGAATATATGTTTGATATATGTTCCTTTATATCATCCTCTCTTAAGCATAGGTGGGGTAGGGGGCGTAGGCGGGGGGAGCGGGCTTGTAAGTAGGCTTGTACTCGGGGTACTGAGCCTCGCCCTCGTAGCTGACCTCAGCTACGAGACCGTCGCCGTTGTCCACGTACTTGACGGTCTGCTTGCGGCCGTCGGGGAGGTCGACGGTGTAGCTGCCCTCGGTCTTGTAGCCGTCGCGGGACTCCGAGTGGCCGAAGTTGGCGCCGGAGTAGCCGTCGGCGACGCCGTAGTTGTAGTTGTACTTCGGGGGGACCTGAGAAGGTGTAAGTTTGATGAAAAAGTCTCACAATATGTATCCATGGTTTGGAGCATACTTACAGAAGTGAATACATAACAAAAGCATTGTAAGAAATAGTCCATGATAGACGTGATCATTTTCTTTAAATTATTCTTTTCATTGATTATTGATTATAAAAATACTTACATCGGGGTATTCTGGTTCGTAGTGTGCACGGGCGTGATAAGCGGGTTCAGGGGCGTGGTAGGCAGGCTCGGGGGCGTGGTAGGCGGGTTCGGGCGTGGTAGGCGGTTCGGGGCGTGGTAAGGTCTTGGGGTGTAGACGAGGGGAAGGGGGGCATGGACGGGGGCCTTGTCGCACAGAGCGACGACAGCCACGCAGGCGAGGACGACGACCTGAGGACAGTTTTTGTATATGAAGAAATGGCAGAATAGTTGCTGACCGAAAAGAGAAGCAGGTAGGAAAACATGATACAGGACTGGATCAGTGGAGTGGTGCATGCACTCTACTCAGCTCCATATATATATATATTTATATATATATATGTATGTATGTATTTATATACACATATATACGCATGAAATTGAATAGTCTGCCTGATGCATAAAAGAAAAAAATTGAACACAGAATCCCTCATAAATATATATTCTAAATCTAAATAAATCGCTTTGTGATAATGCAACCGAATGATTCACTGTTATAAACACAAAAATCTGAAATTCTTTTCACAGGAGAATTTCGTACCTTGAGAGACATGGCTGGAGAGCGAATGATGACTGGCGGTTGACACTTCCCCTTATATGTGCGACAGTGTGTTCGTTCGTGCGTTGGCTCCGCCTTAGGCCTTTCTCCCATGGCCTGAGGGGGTGATTATCGGGCCCTTGAAATGCATTGGGTCTAATCGCCGAGAGGACAGGGAATATCTCTGTAGTTTTTTATATGTTATTATGATATATACTTCCATTTGATAATTGTCGGTATTTGAATATATATTCCTCTATTTGTAAATCAATAGAAAATTAAACATTAGAAGATATGTAAATGAAATTATCTATATATGCATAATAATATATGAAATTATATATATATATGTATGTATGCACTGTATATACACACATACATACATATATATATATATATATATATATACATACATATATATACATATATATACATACATATATATGTATATATATATATATATATATATATGTATGTGTGTGTGTGTGTGTGTGTGTGTGTGTATACATATCTGTATGTATATATCTATATATATATATATATATATATATTATATATGTATATGTACATGTATATATATGTGTATTTATATGTATATATATGTATATATGTGTATTTATACACATATATACATATAAATAAGTATATGTATGGATATGTATATGTATATGTATATATACAAATATAGATATATGTACATATCTGCAATTTATATATGTGTGTGTGTGTGCGTGTGCTGTATATTCGTATATATACATATATACATTTATATGTATGTGTGTGTCTGTGTAAATATACATGTACGTATGTTATACATACACATATGCGTGGGTGGGTGTTAGTATGTATATACACAGTTATATATGAATATATTTATATACACACACATATATAATCTATATATACACACACACATACACACAAACACACACACACAAACGCACACACACACACATACACATACATACACACAAACGCATATACATATATGTTTTACATATATACAGACACACACGCGCAAACACATACATGTGTGTATATATATATATATAATACATCTATAATATATATATATATATATATATATATATATATATATATATATATATATATATATATACACACGCACACAGATACAAATATGTATATTATATATATATATATATATATATATATATATATATATATATATATATATGTGTGTGTGTGTGTGTGTGTGTGTGTGTGTGTGTGTGTGTGCATATATAAATGAATATATGTACATATATGAAATATACATATGTACATAAATGAAATATATATATGAAATAATATATGAAAAATACATACATATACATATATATGTACACATTTGCATGTACGTGCACACGCAGACAATGTGCAGTTATATATTTGACTATGATCTTCATAACTGTTGCCCCTCCCCCTCCCCCCCCCCTCCCCTTACCAACCAGTCCAATATTTTGATTCGTTTAATAGCTGAATATGGAGAGAAAATGTGTTTATCATACCCCTTTATTAAAGCGAAATTGTTACATCCTCACTGCATCAGTAACAGTTATAGAAATGATTAATGAGGATTGCCTATGAAGATAAATAAAAATATAGATAGTCTGTATCAAATACCTGGACCTATCACCATTCATAAGCATCTATCTGTCAGTCTGTCTGTTTATCTATCAATATATACGTCTATGATATGCATATACATATATATGCATATATATACATATATATGCACATATATACATATATATATATATATACATATATATATATATATATATGCATAATATACATTATATACATATATATACATATATATGTATGTATATGACATTAAAAATATATATACATATATATGCATTCACAGCTGCATGTATGATGATATTTATCAATAATATACATCTATAATAAGAAGAAATAAATGCAAAACACTTTTCGAACAGCCTGCGACCAGTTACCTTATCGCATTCCTCTGCTCCTCAGACTGTCAGCTGCTCCCACGTGTTTTCCCCCAGGGTGGCTTGAGTGAAGGTTCCTCATCCTCACACATCACACACAGAAGTGGCTCCTCATACCCAAACTTCTGACGGATAAGTATGTGTGTGCGTACTTAGGATTTGAACTTCTAAATCAGTTTCCAGCGAGTGCCTACGGGGAGTGTGTAAAACCTCGCTATCGTTACTCTAGCATGAGTAGATAGGCCATGTCTATGGAGCTGGTTAGATTCTAGTTGCATGTTCCTTTTAGTGGCTCGTGTGGTATGGTTGGTTTAGTACTGGTCACTCTGGGCATAGCTGGAGCGTCAGGGGTAGGAGTCCTGGTCAGGGAGGGTCGTGTATGTATAAGTGTTTATTTCAAAGGGTGATTTTTTTTCTTTCTCTTTCTTATGGACACTTCTGACTACATAATCTATTTTTCCACGTAACAGAAAAACAAAGGGTATCTTCTCTTTTTCTTGTCATTCCTTGTACATCAGTGATGTAAGATATGTTATGCGTGTTTATTACTATGTTATAAGTGTTATCTACGAATCTATGGC